GCATTTTGTAAAAATTCTTTTTGTGTTCATATAATCTTTTTCTTAAATTTCTAGATGTCTCATTTATTTCTTGAGCTATTTTTAAGCCTATTCTGTAAATCCTTGCTTCAGGCTTAATGTTATTTTCTTTTGCAATGATTAAATATAGTATTGTTTTTGAAGTAACTGTAACAAATCTTAAGCCTAAATAAATTCTTTTCAATTGTGGTCATTATTGAGTTTGTTAACCATATGTGCTCTACACATAAACACACACTGTTAGACAGAGTAGGACACACGGATGTATCCTTTTAAAGTCTTCATTCCAAATGTCGGAGTTAAAACACATTTTTAAAATAAATTCACACATTCCAGGTTGAAACAGGAATTTAGGCATACTTAATGAATACAGTTTCCGCAGAAAGCCTTCTACAACTCTAATCATGGCAAACAACTAGTCCAAACTATCAGATCTCTTCAGTAACATATGCTGAAACAAAACACACAAAACAAACTATCCCAAATAAAAAAAGAAGTCCCACTTCACTTTTTATTTCTTGTCTTACTGAGAAAGAACATGGGCGTATCCCAAAATTTTGATTTTTCACCATGCTTCTATTTGATCAAAAGACCTACTAATATACAATAAATAGTATGTCTTATCAATATCTTGAATTTCTTTCACTGACCTATATATATATATATATATATATATATATATACATGAATTATTCACACAAAAACTAATGCAAAGGTTAATGATTTAAATGGCGAGACATCCATCATCGCAAACAATTCAAATAATATACAAAAACCTCCGAATCCATTATGAATGAAATGATCCTTGTTTATATAAATTTCTGCCGTATTAGTTCCAAAAACAATAACTCATTTTCAATAGCATTTTCGGATACAACAATACATATATTTTCGTTGTCCTCTTATTACTAAGAGAAAAAACAAGAACAACATCTATTCTATACCTGAAGATGTCTGTAGGAACAGACGAAAGCTTGTAGCAAAATAAGAACTAATACGGCAGAAATTTATATAAACAAGGGTCATTTCATTCATAACGGATTCAGAGGTTTTTGTATATTATTTGAATTGTTTGCGATGATGGATGTCTCGCCATTTAAATCATTAACCTTTGCATTAGTTTTTGTGTGAATAATTCATGTATTTGTAAATTGATTGCACGTTTATCGTAATATATATATATATATATATATATATATATATATATATAAAAAAAGGATAGTGAATTTTAAAAATATTTTCAAGTCTTCCTTTTATTTATGCAAATATTGGGAACTATAAATTATATATGCTCTTATTTAAAAACTGATAATTGTTCCCAATTTTATTTTGTTGAAGCATTTAACTGCTTATATAAAGTTAAAATGTCTACCAAAAACCCACAAAAAAAATGATCTCAAACTTCTATTCATATCACAGCCACAAAATATCTGGGAAAATTATATGTTTCTAATTCAGAGCACTTAGAATTTGTTATACTCAATATTAACATAAAGAGAAATACAAGTTATTTTTAAAAATTAAAAACATCCACTATCATCAAAATGTTATGTATTTTTTTAATAATGTAAAGTTGTTTAGAACAATTCATTTTTTTTAATAAATATAGATTACTAGCCGAATATTTTGAAGTGCCATTTTATTTTGACCTCCCCACAATCTCCATTTTCTGCTTCGTACCTGGCCAGTGAGGATTATGTCAGTTGTATTACCTTCATGTAGACTGTTTTTGCAAGATTACCAATCCCATGTCTTTGCTTCACCTCCATGTTTTCTTCATCATAGAAATGATGGATTAACACATACCTTCAGATACATAATTTTATGAAAAATCAACTTTTCTTATCTCATTTTTACTTTTAATATTATAATAATAATGCTATCTGCCTGGTGCTTCCTGGTACATAAAGCCTCTTGGTGAGTTTTCTGTAATCAAATCATTAAACAGAAGGGTGATAACTTCTGTATGCGGAGGAAGGATTGGTTTTCTGTTGGCACTTTTCCTTCCTTTAAATGACTAGGTGTTCCTACAGTAACTAGTTACAGTTAACCAGGCTTAGAAATTTCGTTTTTTCTTATGCTAAACTGCCAATCAATTTCTTCTTAGTGCAGTAGGTACAAGTATTTGAGTTGCTTGCTTTCTTTTTCTAACTCAAAAGCCCTATTAAAGAAAAATTGTGCCTCCCAACAAGGATTGAATCTCTACCCTTTTTTCCACCAGAAGAAACTGCTTGTCCAGCTGAAATAAGGTGCTATCAATTTGGCCATCTTCATTAAGTACTATATATATATATAATGATAGTTTTTTAAGGTCTGCTATATTTATAAGTGCCCACTATCAGTGATAGTGTAAGTAAATATAAAAAATGGACATTGTGGTCAATGCACATCTATAACACAGATTGTTAACACCTAACAAAACAGATTGGCCTGTAAATTACTGAAGTTTAAAGGTGAACAGATGTTTGTATAGAAAGTGCTCAACATGAAAAAATAGAGCAACAATAGTTAATAAAAAATGGAAGTTTAAAAGTATGTGAACTTTTATTTATCCATTCAGCTAAACTTGATATTCATAATTGTTTTACTTTTTGCTTTTACCATGGCTAATCATATGTAATGAGTTCTTTCGCAAACTTTTTGAGATACTTAATGAATATTCACGCCCACACACAAATTCCAGGTGCTTCTTACAAATTCAAGCCCATTTTCTAATTTGTTTTTTCTGTTGCATGTATTAATTAAATTATTTTTTCCTTTTTGTTTTTTTCCATCTGATTGGTTCAATTGTTATTAAAACATAGAGGTTAAGAAGCAAAAAAAAAAAAAATCCACTTAAGTTTTATGAATCAAATAAAATCTCATCACCACCCCCCAAGAGAAGAGAGCAACAATTTTTCCTCTCCTTTAATTATAGACTCTAATATGTTGTTTTGTTAAATAAATGAAATAGGCCAAGAGACATTCAATATGCTGTAGGACTCTTAAACTTTGAAGTTTTTCTGAAATTTTGTGCAAGTAAATAAGCCTGATTATCTGAAATGTTATTCAATACAATTTCCATTAAATCTGCAATTTCTATGAGAGGAAAATGTTTAATTAGTGCAACTTCAAATTGAAAGATAATCATATATATATATATATATATATATATATATATACACACACATATTTAGTTATTAATGCAGTGCAGAAGTTTTAACTTCTAAAAGATGTGGGTATTGGTAAAATTAGCCATTTCCATACAGAAAATCATTTGACATTCCTTGAGTGATCAGTATTACTGCAAGTTGAATTTTTAAAAATCTTTTTCTTAACTCTTTAGTATTCAACATGCTTAAACCCACTGTGTAAATTTTTGCTCTCAAAGCCTCACTGTTTGTGTGACTTCCCATGTTATTTGCAATGATGTCATTTATATATACATATAGTATACATGGTGGGGCAGGTTACGGTAGCTTGAACATTGCGATCTGATATTTCCAAGACTGTTTTGTGTTGGTTGAATGTTAAATCTTTAAAAAGCTTTCTCGGAAATGACACTTCTGAAGTCCACTGTTATGGTTTTTTTTTTTTTTTTCTAGTATTGATGGAAGTTTCCTTTCAGACATTTGTTTTTAGTATCTAAAGAATGGGAATTAGCCAAAAAGCAAAATCGTCTTTTCAGCATTCTTGCTATCAATTTTGATCTCCATTGAAAAGCATCCAGGGGTTACTGGTAGGAAAATAAAAAGTAAGCAATACAAGAAACAAATTTTAAATTGGGAAGATGCATAATTTATCAAATTTCATCCAAGTGAATTTATTTAAAACCTTGTAGATAGTAAATAATGGTAGAATGCTTTCTAACTTCCAATATCATTGATAATGACATTCCTTAGTTCCACCAATTCTAACTTTCACAGCTGAGACTTGCTATTAGAAAGAAGGAAACTCCATTTGGACAGCTTCTTCTCAAGAACTGCTACTTTTGAACAAACACTTGAGAGCCTGTTTCCTTGGTCACTATAATCTTGGCCTCTTTATTGCTACAGATTCATCATTAATTCATATTAATGTATATAACTCTATTGTCTCTAACCATCACTATATGACATTTTAGCTGACATCCATAGTAATTTTTTTGAAACACCAGTTCTCTCATGATCACTGAAGTTAAACAATGTTGAGTTTGTCAGTAACTAGATGAGTGATTTCTTGGCAATACCAGGAATGGTAAGCTTTGATGTACAGGTAGATAACATCATGGAATTGGAAATATGTGAGCTGAGTTCCAACTTCATTTGGGTTTGTTATATTCACTTAAAAATACCTTTAGGAAAGGTATGAATCCTTTCCCCCCAATTTATGGGTTAAATCAAACATTTTTTCTTGAACTTTCTATAAAGTTTGCAGGGTTTAAATGCTTGTGTGCAGAGTGCTTCAGTATTTTATGATCTTTTAGGAGATCCTTATCTCAAAACCCTAGCAATCAAATTTCATCTCTTGTTGTCAACAACCTCTTGTCCATATTTTTTATCTTTTTTTTTCCCCCTTATAGTTTCCAGTTACTTTAAATCTTCAATGTTGACTGTATTTTTAATTGACTATATATCTTTCTGGTAATAGTAGAAACAGTGAACAATCTTTTCTGGTTCTTGTTTCATCTCCAGTTTAAGAACTGCCTATGAAGACCTGTACAGAGGAAATACAAATAATAAAGCTTACTTTTCTTTCTTTTGCTTGACTAGGAAATGACTTCAGGAAAGAGAAAGTAAAGTGGCTGCTTCCTTTTGTTCTGATTCACTTTTAACTCTTTACATGTCGAATTTCTACCAACATCTCCATATCCAGGATTTTCTTAAGTTTTCTAATCACTTGAGAGTTGCATGCATTTTGTTGCCTCAAAGCAATTGAAGTTTTCTTTCTCTGACTCTAAATACAAACATATGTATTTACTGATTTTTTTTTTTTTTTTTTTTTTTTTTTTACAGTAAGATTCAATGTGTTTTTTCTTTATCTTTTTTCTTTTGTTATTTTTGTTATTTTCTTTTATCTATGTTTTTCTTTTATCTATGTTTTTCTTTTATCTATGTTTTTCTTTTATCTATGTTTTTCTTTTATCTATGTTTTTCTTTTATCTATGTTTTTCTTTTATCTATGTTTTTCTTTTATCTATGTTTTCTTTTTATCTATGTTTTTTCTTTTATCTATGTTTTTTCTTTTATCTATATTTTCTTTTATCTTTTATCTTTTTTTTTTTTATCTTTTTTTTTTTTATCTATGTTTTTTCTTTATCTATGTTTTTCTTTTATCTATCTATGTTTTTTCTTTTTATCTATGTTTTTCTTTTTATCTATGTTTTTTCTTTTATCTATTTTTTTTTTCTATGTTTTTCTTTTATCTATGTTTTTCTTTTATCTATGTTTTTCTTTTATCTATGTTTTTCTTTTATCTATGTTTTTAACTATGGAAATGCTGCTATAGAATTTAATAAATGTCAAATTAATTTCTATAATATCTATAGTGTTACACTCCTCGCTCACACATTGATCACTGATCTGCTAAAAGAAGAAAGAAAGAAAAAAAAAAGCAGTTGATGCTTTTAGGCATTTTTCATGTCAGATCAAAACCAGTAACATAGGCTGAAAATAAGACTTAATGCTTTCTCTTGTCGTTTATGTCTAGCCTTTCATTAGTAAAATAGCCTCATTTTTTAATCTATGAAACTATGTTGCTAAAACTGACACTTCAGAAGAGTAGGTTATATACACACACACACACACACACACACACACACACTCCCCCCCCTATTAATATTCTTTGGGGGCCCAGTGGAATAATGGATATTGGCTCTGATTGTGAATTTGAAGGGCAGAGTTTGAATTCCAGTCAAGTTCATTACATTCACTTGCTAATCTTCTATCTTTGGGAAAGGTACAAATCCTTTTCTTAACCCCCCCACCAACCCCAGCTATAGGTAAATAGAGAGGAGACAGATTCCTATAGCCTTGGGTGGCAACCAGTCTAGGAGAAGGAAAATCTTTGAATTCAAAACCAGTCTGTGTTGGGTTTCATTAAGCTATTTTGCCCAGGAAACACCACATTTACTGCAGCTGCAGTACATTTGGTGCTCATACAATCCTCAGGGGTTACAAGTTTAAAAAAAAAAGAAAAAATATATTTAATTTCTTAACTAATTATCCTTTGAACTATTGTATAATAATAATGAATTTTGGGATTAGTCATCTTGTATCTTACACTAACTGGACCCATGGAAATTTCATGGTAGTGTCCTCTGTCTAGTTGGGAACTAATGATACATAATGAGAAACCTTTGTCTGCCCAGTGAATCTTGTGCTTTTGCCTAAAATTAAAAGAATTTTTGTTTGATTTAGAAGAGATGCTCTCAACCTATTTTAGTGAATTTATATGGCAAGAGTAAATGAAAGAAATGCCCTGAAAATGTATTTTTTTTCCAAAATTTATAATTTCAGTTACTCATAATGTGTTTATTTAAATTTTCTCATTCACAGAATTTTTTTTATAAATTTATGAATAAAAAATCTTTTCATATTTATTTCTATATAAAATGGTAAATAATAAATATTAGTTGGTTCACATATTTATAATTTTGTAAATTTTTATAAATTTATGAATAAAAAAAAAAAGTTTTATATTTATTACTTTATAAAATGTTAAATAGTAAAACATTACATTGTAGTTGGTTCACTTATTTCTTAATCATTTAAATATAAAATTATTGAAATTCTTAACAGCTTTTTAAAGCAATAAACATTGCTGAGGAAGAATAGCAGTGTCAGTGTCAGTTTTTTTTTTTTTTTTTTTTTTGTGTGTGTGTACAAAAGTTAAACTTTGCCAAAAATTCTTACAATTCAAAATCTTTTTGCATTTTAAATAACCCACAGTGTTGATAAGTCATAAAAATCAGATGAATCAGTCTTAATTAGTAAGCCTTTCCCAAGTTGATATTTTGATATCATCAAAAGAAAAAAAATGTTGGTAATAATTATTATTACTACTACTACTACTAGTTAATCTGTACTCTAAAAAATTGACTGCAAAACTGAAGTAATTTTGCAATTGTATTGTTCTTATATTCTGTATGATCAATCTAGTATTTTGTATCTGTACAGTTGATTCTATTACCCCATGTGAGAATGAATTCTTCTCTTTACATAATGACTCAATAGAAGACACATGGGTATATCAGATATACTCCACTCATTATATATATATATATATATATATATATATATATATATATACACACACACACACACACTGAGGTGATGCAAGTGCCATTTTTAGACAAAGACAATGAAGGAATTTAGGCAATTTGATTGCAAACATTTGGCTGATTCATTTGTCATATTTTATATTCTACTGGTTTATATGAATTACTTGTACCAATTGATCTAAGCACCTCCACTTTTTTCACTGTAAAAATGGCATAGCATGATGAAAAAGGCCCCAAATTTAATAAAAACAAAGTTTTATCATCAAAATGTTTGTTATTATTAAGAGGAAAGACCAAAGTATTTTTCTATTAACTTATAGGTTAAAAACTCTTTTTTTTTTTTTTTTTTGCTAGCAGTCAATGTAATATTTACAATTAGTGTTTTAGTGTCTTTTTTTCCAGTGAAAAACACATTGATTTGGAAATTGTTGCAAAACTCAAATAATAGTCAGATTTTAATGAACCTTTCAGGACTTATTCATAAATGAATAAAATCATTTTTTTTGAAAATCTTTTAAAAAAAACTTTTTTTTTCTATATATGTCCCCCATACCAAACTTAATTTCATGAAATTTCAAGAAATTAAATTTTCAACCCCAAATTCTTTTTATCAGTTAAAAGCAGGACTTCTTAGAGAATGAAAATCTGTTTTTTTTTTTTTTTTTTTTTAAACTGCTGCTCATTTCCCAAAAATCTGGTCTGAATCATAAAATAAAAAATGCAATAAAAATAACTTTAATTAGAAAAACTTTAATTACTTTTATAACTAAGATTTGTTAATGAAATTATTGTCTTAAGAAAAAAAACATTTTTTGATGAATAATGAATTTTTACAAGAATTTCTTTTTAAATTTTAATTATAATAATTTATTATATTTTTTAAGTCTTTTAAAATTTTGCATTAGTTCAGTGTCACTATATTTACGAATCAAAAATTGAAAAGCTTCATACAAATCATTTTGCACCAAGATTTTAAAAATATCTTTATGTATATAAAATGTAATATTATGTAATGTACCCATTTTTGAAAGTATGGCCAACCATACATGACATCAGAAAATAAGAGCAAGGGCTATAGTAAATTTAAATTTGACATTTTTTTTAAGATTACTTAAAATTATATGAAAAACACATTCATTTCATTTTCTTAAATTGTTTTACAGATAAAGTCTCCGTATAATCACTCTGTCATCACCTTGTCAATTATGTAAAACATGGCAATGTCGGTTAAAAACACAACTAGTGTTTGTTTTAAATTTAAAGTTGTTGTGATGATATAACCCAACTTCCCCATTCACGATAATGGACGGTCTGGTTGCCGATTAAGTACAACCACAGCGGACAGTCAAGAGGGTCTTCGTTTGTTAACACCTATTGAGGTTAGCAGACTCCCGACTCTTGTACAAGATATAACAAAAGTAAATGATATTTTTTTCCAAAACAGATTAATTATATTTCAAATCAGCTAATATTCCTCAAATAAAGTTTTAGAAAAGTATATTTTATTTTTGGAAGAGTTTTAATACAGAGAATTACATTGTGATGAAAGACAACTTAAAAAGGGTGCTAATCAACTTTTTTTAGAAAAAAAGCAAAATAAAATTAACTCCAATCACTATAATTTCTGTTTGAAATACACCAGAGTATTTTGCTTACTGGAAATTTAATCCTTTAGCTTTCAATAAAAGCTTCAGGAAAACTTTTTCATTTATAAAAAATTAATTTTAAATCTTAGGCATCATGACTTAGTAGAGGTACCTAAATTGATCAGTTGGTAATTGGTCATTTTTCAGTATTTACTGATTAATCAGTCATTGATTCCACCTCCCACCAATTAATCATATCTCATAATCAGTCATCGTTATTGATTCCATTACAGAAATTTCATTCCTGACTTAAGAATCTTCCATTCTCTTCAAAATACAATGAATATTGAATAATATTCCAATGGTTGTTCATTAAATTTTTTACCACTCTTTATTAAGCCTAATTAAATTACCAATTATCAACCGATTAATTTTTGTAATATAAATTAAATGTATATTAAAATTAGCAAAAGTGTCTTAAAATATTTGACTTTTGGTGTTTCACTATTTTTATATTTCCCTTTCAGGTATTTGGAGCCTTATTTATTGCTTTGTCTTCATGGCTACTCATCGAGAAAAACAAGGTGGTCAAGAATTGGATGGAGTTCTTTTTGGATCCTGTTTCACTCATCTGTTTAGCTGGAGCCATTGTTGTCTTTGTAGCCTTTTTTGGTTGCATGGGTTCCCTCAGGGAGAACACTTGTTTTATACAAACAGTAAGTGCTTATCAAAAGACATAAGCCAGTTTATATATATATATATATATATATATATATATATATATATATATATATATATATATATGTGGGGGGTTGTTGTTAATTGGGAGGATGGAAAAAAATATCTAGTTGAGAAAAAAAATTGAAAAAAATTACTTGTCTTTTGCAAAAACACATTTTTTACCCAAGCTTTAAAATGTCAATTGAGTGCATGATTTAAAATGGTTACCATAAAGCAAAAAATAATAACGTCACATTGTCTTTATTAAATGGCGATAATCCAATTATCATGTTAGTGAAAAGCCAATTATCATTTGTAACTTGAAACCCTCATGAACACTGAATAACATTAACATTTCCCATATTGTTTGTTTCCTGCTTTCCAATAAGTTTCATTCACTCCCACTGACTTCTTCAGAGTGTTATCTTTTTTGTTTTGTTTCTAATCTATCATTTTGCATTGCACTTTGAAGCCATTGTCCTACGTCGAGCCGGAAATAAGGATGTTTTATTTCAAACAACTGTGGATTTTGTTTCACTGCTTAAAGATTAAAATGTCCAAAACAAATCTTGTCATTTTGGTTTTGTACTTATCTTTTTACAATATATTTATCAGTACATGCATTTCAATAAAAAGTAACAAAAAACTTGTAAATTTTACATTGCATCCAGTGCAACTAGGATCCTATTTAGGAACATTTAAAATGGATGGCTACTGGCTAGTGAGAAGTTGCCTTCCAAATATCCCTGTGAAATGCATCTTTATTGATTAGCAAATACAGTTAATTTTTTTTATCACCTTTTAATTTTAATACTTAAAAAAGAAAAAATAATTCTATCAACATTTTAAAAAAAATCATGATATATGCATATTCAGCAGTTGTCCAATTGAAATTAAAAAAAATATTTTAAAATTTTTATTTTCTTATAATTTTTAAATCTTTGAAATTAAATCTTTATTTTCTATCAACCAAAAATGATTTTGTCAAGTAAAGCAAACCTAGATTTTTTTTTTCTTTAATTAAGAAATAATTTTTGAGATTTTAATAATTATTCATTTCAATGTATTTTATTTTACATCTCATTAAATGTATTTTCTTGCACAAACTTAGAATAAAGTAGATTCCTGAGGAGTTTTATATTATTTGGATATGCCAGTTTGGGCACAAAATTATATTATTGAGCACCTTCAGTGGAACAAACTTACTGTTAATGAGATGTAAAATAAAATTATTGCACTGCAGCAAGTATCTGGTTATATTTAATGTAACAAGCATATAAGTGAATATTTATTTGTGTGTGCATACATACATATATATATATATATATATATATTCCCAATTCCAAGTTTCTTAGAAATGGTATCCACTCATCAGGGGATTAGGTAGTAAATCTTACAAATCTCTCTAACACACTGATATATAGATACTAGTCCTATGAAACTTGGATTTCGGAAGATAAATCTGCATATTTCATCTTATTTTTTTATTATTTTTTCTAATATTAAGCACTTTGCTTACAAAGCCTGCTTGCCTTAAAAGCATTATCCTTCAGAAATATACTGTTTGACTGTTGTTTGTTTAAAACTACGGCTGTATTAAAGACTATTTTTCTGAAAATATAATTCCAGAATACAGCAAATTCATGCCAAGAATTCAATAGAATGTGATAAAGCAATAATAATTACTAATTATAAAGTTCATACACTTATCATTTATTTCAATTTGATAAATGAATGATTTTATTTTTATATTTATTTTGTTTAAGGCTAAAAGTTTTTTTTTTATTTTTAATTGCTGTTACTTTTTATTTTTTAATCACATCACCCCATGTAAGGCAGTAAAGCCACTAAGACACAAGGGGTTATTGAGTTATGAATGACTAAAAAATGAGAAGCATTAAAGAGCAAGAACTATAGTAATCAAGAAGATCAAAGTTGTCTGGAAAGCATGGGAGCCGGAATAGAGTTCCACAAGTAAGAAGTGCAAGAAAAACTGTTAGAATAGAACTTATGGTTACATTTAACCATTTCAACTGTAATTTGCTGCCAATCTAGTTCTGTTCTTAAATTCATAAAGTCTTGGTACCATAGCAGAAAATTCATCCAAACAATTTTTGTATTTTTAAAATAAATATTACTTTCTGCTATGGTACCTAGACTTTATTAATTTAAGTGCAATACTAGATTGGTGCCAAGGTCTCATTTTAATGGCTAGATGTAATGTAAATCCTATGCTAACAATTTCTTTTCTTGCACATCTCACTTGTGGAACTCTTTTGGCTTCTTGTTTTCCTGTCAACTTTGATCTTCAAAAATTTAAATGCAATGTCAATTGTCATCTTCTGTTTTCTTAATTCTTGTTCTGTTATTGTCCTCTCTCTTCTTAATAGTAGTTTCTCATATTCTCTAACACTCGGTAACCCCTTGTGAACTAATAAAACGATTAAAGAAAAAGAAAAATGCAGTTGTCAATCTACATGGCATGTGATGCTAAATAATCCCTCGTTTCATTATTTTTTTTTTTTTTTTCCTTCTTGCAGTACAAGATCAGTTTGATGCTGGTCCTAATTGGTGAAGTGGCCCTTTCAGTTCTCTTCTTTGTGTCTTATTCCAAACCTGAACTGCTCACAGAACTGAATATGTCAGAAGCCTTTTTTAAAAAAGCAATCATGTCTTACAGAGAAGATCTTGACCAACAGAATTTTATCGACAGCATCCAACAGAAGGTAAGTCAACTGAATGTCTGCATGAAATCTTTGTCTACCTCAAAGAAACTTAGTAGCACTTTTGCCTGCTTTTGAATGGAAACATGGTACAGAACATGGTAACTGCATTTCTATAAATAATTAGCACATAGTGTAATAATTAAGAAGCTAGCTGAGCAGTCTATTGAATTTGATCCTCACTGAGTTTTGTCAAATTTAAAATCTGGCAATGTGTTGTAATAGTTATCACCTTGAAGACTGAAATAATTTTGATGGCAGTCCATTTATTTGTATTAATACCTTTGAAACAGACAATAATACAATTCACTGCAAATTATCTGTCCAAATGAATATCAGCAGAATAGCTGTAGTATCTATTATCAGTTTTAATTTGTTGAAGTCATTTGTATATATTTTGAAAAATTAATTATTTCACAGGTTGTTGGTCCCATTTATTATAATCAATACTGTTTTTTGCAATATGGGTCATTCAAATATCAGATGTTGTCTTGTTAGGCAAACATTTCCCTAATTTCTAAATTCTTTATCAAAACCTGTTCCTGATCTTGTGTGTTGGGGGTCATTTATTCTGTCAATGAAGTGGTTTCTTTTGGTTCGGGAATTTATTTGTGCTGGACTTGAACAGGCAGGTAGTAACTTGTGTTTCATTAATCTAATGATCACCATATTTATTGTTATATATGCTGCTTACTATATTTTCAAAACAAAGTTCTACCCTTTTTGCTTATGGAATAAGAGCTGAAAAGTTCTCGGCCTGACCTACTTCTCAATTTTATAGTCAGGATGAGAATTTTTCAGCATCCCATTGTTAAAGCTACGTTTATTGTCTGTTTTAATTCCAATAAAAAGTATCAGCAAAACCCATTATTACATACTGACTCAAACATTGATTGCATATAATAAGGTCTCGTATCACAAATTATTTGCTTCTATCTAGGGTTCCACAAATCTTTACATTTATGACAATTTTTCCATTCAAATATTACTTCAATATGTGTACGACTGGAACATTAAACAAAACAAATTTGAAGACTCATATGGTTGACATGTCTTCAAACTAGGGGAACTGCATGTTTGTAAAAAACAATGCCTTCATTTTAAACTTAAATATCTTATTCTCAGAATTCTAAACCAGCTTTCTTAATCCTCAATAAAATTAAAAGAAATGAAACTGGTAGCAAGAGAACTCAAATAATAATTTAAAAAAAGAAATACTTTACCCCATCTTTCAGATGCAACTAACTTTCAGATATTTAAATTTTTGGTGAACAAAAAATCAATATTTTTTTTCCTTTCAGTTGGAATGCTGCGGGATGAAAGATGATGCTTCCAATGGCTTTAAAGATTGGAATTCCAATGCTCACTTCAATTGTGCTATAAACAATACTAGTCCTGAGCGATGCTCTGTGCCATTCTCTTGTTGCAAACGCAAGGTAAGTTACCATATCTGATTATTTTCTTTCTCTCAACCAATCGTGGAAAACCTTTTAAACAATGAAGATTCAAATTATTCTCCCTTATGCAAGTTTTTATCTATTTTTACTTTACTTCTTGTTTTTGTAACAAATCAGATATTATGAATACTCCACATTCTGTACATATCATGTTGAAACACCAATTCCCATACAATCTCTGAAGTTAAGCAACCTCAAGTGTGGTTACTATCTAGATGGGTGGCAGCTTGGGAATACAGGGTGGTGTAATGACTTGGAATTGTTAATTTGGGAGCCAATTCATGTTGAGTTCATTTTATTACCTTGTGCACAAGTACCTTTGGTAAAGGTATGAATTCACTCCTCCTCCCCCAGGTATGGATTAATTAGTAAGACTTGGATCACTTAAACATTATCTGAAAAAAATGTCAGGTTTTAAGTAACCTGGAAAGGGTTGATAAGCTATAGAAAATGAATCAATTACGCTCTTTCTCTCTCTTTTTCATGCTTGGGTTCCCCCCCATCAAATAACTGGCTTTGTATCACAACCTAACTCAGTAGAGGGGGTCTCTGGTAAATACCAAGAATAAGACCATAGTGAGGAAAAGGACAATGAAGAAACAGGGTTCAGGAAAACAAAAGATGGTGATTGATGTTGCATTTAAATATTTGAAGATTTTAGATGGCAAGAAGTCAGAAGGGAGTTCCACGGGCAAGGAAAGAAACTATTAAAATAGAACTTGATAACATCTAGCTAGTTCAACAGTAAAACTGTGAGACCTAGTTGCCAATCAAGTAGCATGCTTAAATTCATGCAGATGAGGCAGTAAAGAGAATAGCTCATCAGAATAATTGCCATGAAAATATTTGTAGAAAAGACAGAGGGAAGTCACATCATGACAGTGAGAAAGTGACTGAAGTCAAGAGGTCAGGATCAGTTATATTACAGATCCTTCTTTGAATTTTGTCAAGAACCTCTAGATGAATAGCAGGAGAACCAGACCAGATATGGCAGAAGTATTCAATGCAAAGACGAATGTTAGATTAATAAATATGCAAGAAATATTATGACACAAAGAATTGTCTAGCATAACACAATGAACCAACTTTCCTAACAATTGATTAAATATAATTACTCCACTTCATATCAGTGGATAATGATCCAAGAAGATGCAAAATGTTCTGCTCCAGGAGTTTAGCATCAGCCATGCTGATAGACAGAAAAGGTTATCTGCTGATTAAATGAAAGCATTTTTATTTTGGAGTCATTAAAATTTACAAGCCATTTCATGCTAGAAATGTTGTTCTTTCAAAATGCAAAAATAATCATTGAAAGTTTAGATTGCGTAAAAATGTTTAATTTGACCATAAAGGTATAAACATAAATAAATCAAGTTGATGATAGCAATAATGAGTGGGTAGGGCATGTTTGAATAATCATATGGTGAATCAAGCGGAATAATTCTTTTAATAAATGATGTCTGACTAAAAAGATGGGGTCATTTTTCATGCTCACTTTTTAAGTCGTCTTTTATGATTTCAAACTGACAAAATTGTAGCATCACAAGGCAATCAAGGTTTTCCCTTGGTGATACCATCTGCAAATGACTTGACATGAGGAACTGCAATGATTAATCCACTCCTACCCATTTTTTTTCTTTTTAAATCATTTCACCCCAAGCAAGGCCTTACCGAGTGTTAGAAAATATGAGAAAAATTACTATTACAGAGAAGGGACAATAAGAGAAAAAGAATTAAGACAGAAGATGACGTTTGACATTACATTTTTAAATTTTTGAAGATTAAAGTTGGCTGGGAATCAAGAAACCGTAAGAGTTCTACAAGTGAGAAGTGTGATAGAAGAAACTGTTAGCATAGAACTTATGTTACATCGAACCATTTTCACTGTAAAATGATGAGACCTATCTGCCAATCTAGTACTGCGCTTAAATTCATAAAGTCTAGGTACCATGAAGGAAAGTTGAGTAGAACAATTATCATGAAAGTACTTACAGAAAAGACACACTGGCAGTGGGAAAGTGACTGAAGTTAAGATGCCAGGTCAGGACCAATAACATTGCAGATTCTTCATTGAATTTCATCAAGAATCTCTAAATATACAGCAGACCAGATGTGGTAGCAATATTCAAAGCAAGGACAAATGGTAAACTTAAAAATATGTAAGATAGATTCTGGCAAGAAAAATTGGTTAGCTTGACATAGTGAACAACAACTTTCTTAGCATGGACTTAGCAATTGACTCAATATACTCTTTCCACTTTGTCAGCTGAAACATTAGTCCGAGAAGGTACAATGAGTCACTCTCTTGGAGGTTAGCATCAGACATGCTAAAAAATAATTTATTTGAAACCATCATTCCATTTGATACTTGGCATTGTAAGTCAGTACCTTGTGTCCAGTTTTTTCTCGGGGTTGTTTTAATTTACAGTTTTACAGTGACCGACCAGCATAGATATCGCTTTGAAATTATAGAACTTCAATTTGGTTTTAATTACAGAATTTTCTGCTACTGAGCCACACTATTTTAATTCCGTTATTTATTGCTTTTCTAGTCTGACAATCAATTTGCAGTCAGTTCTTGACAAAGTCCCTAAGAAAAACAATGATAGTCTTATTTATTTATTTGTTTTTTCAATAGATTCTGTTCCTTATTAATTTATATATATATCATAAATTTCAGAAGGACGAACTTCTCAACTTGGTTTGTGGCAGAAATATGTTGGATGACAAAGTAAGTTTCTTTATTTGCTGCACTTTAATCAATGAAATGGATTTCAACAATTTAAAATCAAATTTAGTTAGTAATGGCCAGCCTATGTTGTTAGGTTAAGTACAATTCATTAGGCTCATATTTAGTCTCATAGGCAGACATATCCATTCAACAATTGCTAACACAGTCGGCCAGCTGAATAGATGCTCGTCTAACACTTTTTGGTTTCTGAAATTTGCTTTGGATTGGAGGAATGTGAAAATCTGTTTGTATTTATTTTTTTTTAATACTGCTGTCATTGACTTTGTCATCTCCAAGAATTTAATTTCTTTGCTGATTGCTTCCTTTATGATAATGGTGTTGATGACTAAATTCACCACCAATGAGCAGGTTCAGGAATAGAAGCTTCCAGTTTCACCAAAACCTGCTCCTGTCATTGATCCCCCATTGCCATTTGGTTGAGGTGAAACAAAATCAGAGTAGAAGAAAGTGCCAATGGTGTGATTTTGTTAAAGGTGGACCTCAGCTTCCAAGGAAGTTAGCCACACACTTGATTTCATGACCTTCCCTCTGTGGCATGTATGGAATGGGACATGCAGAATTCAGTTATGAAACTGCAACAGATTGCCGCCGACTCTGTTATAATTTCAAGGGCTGCCTTCTGTAGCATGTCCAACATGCGTAGCACTCTTCATCTACTGATTCAACTGTTTAGATCTGTTATAATCATCATCTGCTTGTTCCTCCATGTTGGTTGCACTTAGTCTTTTTTTTAATCTAATATGACAATAGAAGGGAGGAAATTATTTTTAAAGCCTCTCCACTTATAAGAATTAAAAAAATCTCTACTGCACTCTTTCTTTTTTTAAATAATCTGGAAGGAAAGGGTTTATGTAATTTTAAAATATTTTCTTTCCCAATTAGTTGTATTGGTTTTTTTTTTAAAAAAAAAATGCTTACTGTATTTTATTTTTATTTTAGATATTTCCTGATCCAAGTAAAGCAATCCACACCAGAGGATGTCAAAATGCTGTAAGAGAATGGATTACCCAAAATGTTTTGATGATTGGTGGAATTCTTTTAGGAATTCTTATTCCACAAGTAAATAACATTTCATGTTCTTGATTTTTACTACAGTTTCAATTTCTCTCTGCACCCTGAACAAGGAATAACAAAAAAAAAAAATCAATAAATTCAAACTAGTACATTCTTCATTGGAGTCTGTAGGTTCAAATCCAAGTAAAATTTTCTATTTGTTTAGATTTGTGTCTTTCAGTTATCTCCTCTTATACACAGGGGACATAACATATCTGATGATCAAGACATGAAATTGCCACTGAGAGCATGCGGTGTGTTTATATATATATATATATATATATATATATATATATATATACACACACATACTTCAGGCAAAATGCTTGGGGATACTTTGATTTTTTTTTTTTTTTTTTGATCATTTCACGCCAAACAAGGCAATAAAGCCACTAAGATGCAATGGGTTACTGAATGTTAGAGAATGAGAAAAACTAATATTAAAGAGTGGACAATAAAAAACAATTCATTTGACGTTGCATTGAAATTTTTGAAGATCAAAGTTGACAGAAGCAAGAAGTGCAATAGAAGAAACGGTTAACATAGAACTCAGGATTACATCTTTACATTTCAACTGTAAAATGACGTGATCTTGCTGCCAATCTTATATTCATAAAGTTTAGGTACCATGACGGAAAGTTCATCAGAACAATTATCATGAAAGTATTTATAGAAAAGGTACAGGGAAGCTACATTATGGCAATGGGACTGGGATTGAAGCTGAGGTATCAAGTCAAATTTCTTTGTATTTTATCAAGAATCTCTAAATATACAGCAGGAGCAGCAGACCAAATGTGGCAGAAATATTCAAAGGACAAATAGTAGACTTAATTTGACAAGAAAAATTGTCTAGCACGACATAGTAAACCAACAATTTATTTTATCTGCAAACTTAATAGATTCAATATACTCTTTCCACTTCATTTCAACTGAAAAAGTTCGTCCAAGAAGACACAATGAGTTACTATCCTGGAGGTTAGCATCAGCTATGTTGATGGAAGGTAAAAGGGGTTCTCTCAGACGATTAAAAGAGAGTAGTTTCATTTTTGAGGTGTTAGAATAAACAAGCCACTCATTGCTCCATTTAACCACAGATTATAGGTCATTTTCAAGACCAGCTGCTAATTTGACTGTATCGAACCAATTCAGACTTCCTATTAAGATAGGAGTAAAATAGTTGTCATCAGCAGAGATACCAAGTTGAGAACTAATAATGTCAGGAAGGTCATTTATGGGAATTAGAAACAACATCGGTCCAAGGATAAATCCCTAGGGAACACCTGCATTTATGCAAAAAGATCTAGAAGAGTATTTACTTTTATTTTATTTCATTTTTTTATTATTATAAAAAGATAAAATCTTGTAAATTTATTACAAGTAAGCCACCAGTTCTGAAAAATCGTGAAACATAAACAGTGTTGCAAATGAATAAATAAAACAAAATTGTATGTGTAAATACATACATACATACATACATATAGAGGATGCAATAAGTAAATTGTTGCCATTTTATATTTTAATTTTGCATATGGGCATTTTGTTTTTGATTTTGTTGACTGCACTGTATAGTAGAGTCAGTTGGGCACCACCTGTGAGAAAACGAGTACTATGATGCAATTCAATCCACCAGAAATTTGGAAACAGCATGCCGTACAACTTGGCATTCATGTTGGAAGCCCCTTTGCTAACATTTCAGATGGTTTGGGTGTCAATCTGAGGATTTAGAAAGAGTTGGACGGTATATCCAGTCAACACTATGCTGTTTGAAGTGATCAATAATGATGGTGACGTTATGCTTCTATTTATCTTCCCAGTTACTCAACACAGGCCTACATCAAGTACCTTGCGAAGGTAGTGCTACCCCAGGTCAACAGGGTGGCTGTTGGAAGACCCTATGTCTGACAACAGGACTCTGCACCATGCCACACAAGCAGGAAAACCCAGTCATGGCTATCAGACATTTTCTGCAGCCACATCACCCCTTATATCTGGCCACCTAACACCCCAAACTGCAACCCCTTGATTATTATATGTGGGGTGCAGTTGAGCGAGAGACCAACAAAACGCCTTGTAACACCAAAAATGAACTGAAGGCAAGGATTATAGCAGCATTCACAAAGTTAAACAAGGAGACCATCCAGAAGAGATGCAGGAGATTCTGAAGTCATCTGGAGGCTGTGGTTGAAGCAAACAGCAATTTTATTGAATAAATTAGCATTTCAAGATATTTCATGTAATTTGGATAAATATATCTATGAAAATGAGATGTCAGTTTTTTCATTTCTGAGTATATAACAATTTATCCACTGCACCATATATATATATATATATATATATATATATATATATAGTAAAGCTAACAGATCTATAGGTATGTAATCCAAGTTGATCCTAGTAATATAAAATATTAAAACTGATCCACAAAAAGAGCTCAATGTATTATTACAGAGCAAATAATAAACAGTAAAATCCCAAATCACATCATATGGGGAATAGTCCGTTTTGCTAGACAAAGATATTGGCCATCTGTCTTATCAACCCCAGTGTGGACTGAGTTTGTGCCAGAAATAGAAATTTAACTGTGAAAGCTAAGGAAAAAAAACTTGTGCATATTATATAGATAATAAAAAAAAAAATGAAAAAATGTACTCATGACATATTTCGTTCTTCAGGACTTCATCAGACTAATTTTGTTATATTGGTAGGACTGTGCCTGGCAGTGGGGTGCTGTGAATTTAAAAAAACTTTTTTCATCCGAATTCATTTAGACTTTTTATTTTTCTTTGCATCTCTTTTGTAAGTAGGTATTCCATACTGCGATATTAGATCTGTCAGGGCACAAGTTTACTGTAGATGACCTTCTGATTAAGGCTCTCTCTAGACATTTACATCATAATGAATTATTTTCTCCTTTGATCATGGTAGCATTTTTAAGTCAAAGTTGTGGTCAGTCTCGTTATGGTGGGCAACATCATTCACTAAGTCAAATGTCTAGAGATTGTCTTAATCACATGGTCATCTACAGTAAATTTGTGCCCTGGCTCTTACAGCATTTTACCATTCCTGGCAAATTTTCTAATATCACAGTGTGGAATACCTACTTACAAAAGTGATGCAAAGAAAAAAACTAAATGAATTCAGATGAAAAAAATAAATAATTCTAAAATTCCCAGTACCTCTCTGCCGTGCACATGTGTAGTTCTACCAACATAATAAAATTAGTCCATTTTTTTCATAAAATTTCTCCAATACTGTTCTTGATATATATCAAGTATTGAGTCATTCATGCTTCAATGCAATCTTCAATTTTTATGCATATGACTAGAGAAAGGATGACCTGAAGATTGTGTTCAAGCATGAAATGGACTGTTGCCACTCGGTATTGACCTCAGTGTCCATCTTTTTTTTTTTCTTTTTTTTCTTTCTTCTTTTTTTTTTTTTTTTTTTTTTTTTTTTTTTTTACATGCTCTGTCCCTGATATTGAGCACTCCATGCCCATAAAAATAGCAGACCGTAAAACTATATTTTTATCATGTATACAGTTGTAATTTGGGTGTCTTATTTGTCTTGTACTATCTTTACTTGATTTTTAATTTCATTCTGACTATAGATCTCTATTTGTTTATGCATGTGAATAGAGAAAGTTGTTTCCATTCTATGTTTTCTTATTCAAAAGAAATCTGGTGAATCAAAAACGGTTTTCCATTCATCTCCATTCTTTGTCATAGAGGTTGATATGCCACTAAACAAATAACAACCAACCATTCTTTATCTTCAAATTGAAAGACAAGAATTTTGCATATAAATACAATGTCAAATTTTCCCCAAACTTCTTTATTCCTTAGAATTGTTTTCATCTTTTTAACACTGCTATTTTTTCTTATATCCAAATTCCTTATTTTTTACTTTTTCTTTTCCAGCTGTTTCTTATTCATCTTGCTAGTGCTCTCGGCTCACAGATCAAAATTCAACGTGCTAAATTACGAAGAAATGAGAATATGCTCCTTGCATCTTATGAAGGTTCCAGTGGCAGCATTTCCTATGTGTCATGACCTTGTGCTTCAGATGATTCTAACCATGCTAACAGCCAAAAAATAGACTCTTTTAATTACCTTAATAAAAGTTCATGTATCACATATAGACGCACACACACACATATATTCACATACACACATTATGCATCTATATCTATAAATGTACACATATGTTTGATCATATTGAAATGTTACCAGCACACAAGCATTTGGGTTGCTGTCTATGAAGTTGACATTGATTGTCCTGATGTCATGGCCGGATCCACACATCATTCAATGGTTGGTCATTATTATTATTTTTTTTTTTTTTTTTTTTTTTGCAATTACCAATGAATGTCGTGCCTGGTTACTAACATACGATAGACTGTTTACATTGACTCTTGCATAATGTTAATACACCCATTCTTTGGCCACACAAAGAAAAAAAAATGTATTTTCTCATATGGAACTTTGTACTGCACTGTTTTTTCTTCTTCAGTTACACCTAACGCGTGGGGGTGGGAAATTAAAATGTGGACGCAACACAAAATAAATAAATTTTTGATATTTTCTGAACAATGGGGTTTAAAAAGAATAAAAACACAAATTTAAGGATGCAAAAGAACAAAAATTGTACAAACAAAACTTTCACTTCAATTTATTCTGTGTCAGTTTAAAAATATTCAGGAAAAAAAAAAAAAAAAAAGGAAAAGCCTTTTCGAATGTCTTTGCCAACTTGGTTCATCCGTGCCTGAAATTGGAAGCTCCTGATTTTGTAAAATATTATCAAGTGAATAATAAATATCATTTTATTTTTCTAAATGAATTTTTGCTTGAGATAATTGGGGCGGGTCTTTTTTTTTTTTTTTTTTTTTTTTTCTCATCCAACCTGAATAAACACTTTCACAAAATGTTATATATAATAATGTACCAGTTAATCATAAAAGAAAAGATGTTGAATAAAAATATATATTTTCAAAAAGATAATTGTACACCTGTTCAACTCAGAAATGGAGAAAAAGCTTATTTAATAAAACTGCTTTCAGCTTCAAGGACATCTTTAGACTGCAGGCCCGGATCAAACCTGGCCGTGCGTCTCGAAAAGGACCTCCAATTGGTTGTGAACTGAGGCAGGAATTGATTATTCAAATTTAATGCTTCAAAAACAAAACTGCTCTCTATTAATCACCACAGATCCATTAGAATGTCTGACGCTCAACTGCTCGAGAGCACCTCTCTACGTCTGCTCGGTCTCACGTTGACTGCTGACCTCAGATGGAACAAATACATTGACTCAATTGCTTCGTCCACCGCAAGGAAAGTTGGTTCCCTGTGCCACGCCAGGAAATTTTTCTTCCCGGAATCTATCCTCCAGATCTACAAATCAACAATTCACCCTTGCATGGAGTATTGCTGCCATATATGGTCTGGTGCCCCTTCTGTTTGCCTTGGGGTTCTTGATAGGCTCCAGAAGCGGATATGCAATATAATTGGCCCTGCTCTGGCATCTCGTCTGCAGTCACTTTCTCACAGACGTGCCGTCACCTCTCTCTGACTTTTCTACAAATGCTTTCATGGAAATTGCTCCGAGGAGCTGCATTCACTGGTTCCCAGACTTCATGAGTTCAAGCGCCCTACGAGGCTTTCATCCCGCTCTCACCCCTTCACTGTCGAAACTCCTAAATGTAGCCGTCTTTTCTACTCCAATAGCTTCATGTCTCGCACATCTCGCCTGTGGAACTCCCTTCCCTATTCCAGTTTCCCTGAGAGCTATAATCTCCAGCTATTCAAGTGTAATGTCAATCGACATCTCCAGTTGCCTTGATCTATCCACTACTCTTCTCCTCATCCTTTCTTCTATCACTCCTATCTGATCTTGCTCTAAATTTTCTGTAACCCCTTGCGTCCTAGTGGCTTCTCGCCTTGCTTGGGGTGAAATACTTAAAAAAAAAAAAAAAAAAAGTAATTTGCATTCCTGTTGACATATTGACAATGATGTCTTTCAGTAAGGTTTATTGCAGAGCCACTAGTTGGTTTCCTTTTTGATGACACCTCAGATGTAATTTCCCAGGAAATTCAACTCAGGAAAATGAGGAGGCCACATGTTTGGGGATAACATGGTCAGAAAAATTCTCAACCCACCAGAACTGGTTTATGTAAGCCATGTGGAAGGTCACAGATTCTTGCTGGATTTTTTTTTTTTTTTTTTTTTTTTTAATCATTTCACCTCAAGCAAGGCCATAAAGTCACTAAGACATGGGGGGTGGTTTACTGAGTGCTACAATAGGAGAAAATATACTATTAAGGAAAGATAATGATTGACATTGCATTTAAATTTTTGAAGATCAAAGTTGACTGGAAAGCAAGAAGCTGGAAGAGAAGTGCAAGAAAAACTATCAGCAAAGAACTTATGGTTACATCTAGCCATTTCAACTGTAAAATCAGACCTTCCCACCAATTTAGTACTGCATTTAAATTCATAAAGTCTGGGTAACAGAGGAAAGTTCATCAGAACAATTACCATGAAAGTATTTATAGTAAAGGCACAGGGAAGCTACAAAATTAAAGATTCATTTATGGATTCTATCAAGAATAGTGGGTGCACCAGGATAGATTTACAGTCACACACTTAATTTTAATCTAGGCTTCGACTCTTGTGTCCAATACCTCAAGGCCAGAGTCTCTGCTGCAAGAAGTGTGGGGGAAGCATACCAGGACCCTCATTTCTCCAGATGCCCCTGAACTTGAGCTACCTGTCATTCCCTTTCAAGAATCTGATTAAGTTATGGTTGACTGTTAGTGCCATAAGCACTGTTACTTTTTCATAACTAGAAAGAAAAACTGAAATTTTTATGGGTCTATTTGAATTTTCTGAAAACTCTTAATTCTTAAAATATCTGTAGAAATTCCCTGATCACATCATTAAATATTAACAAAATATTGCAATAACAATCAAATATGAATGCTGGTCATTATTTTAAGAAGTGGGTACAAATGAAAAGATTTGAAATTTATATCTTTCCATTTCATTGAAACCGTCTTTAAACACTTTCCTCCATGTCTTGTTTCTCTACGCAATCAAAACAATAGTCCATTATTTACGAGGTATTGGCAGGAAATGTTAAGCACTTTTATCTTCCTTCCTTCTAGCCAAATCCCTGTCTTACAAGTATTTTTCTTAATAATTTTAAAATAATTTAGCCAACACTGTTATTTTTATTTATGATAAGTGATTTTTTTGGCTTACTCAGTTTCTGTTGTTTGAATTTTATGCATCTGAAAAAAGATGCTTTTATCGATCATATCACTTTTCGGCATTTTGACTGACGTCAAAGTGTATCTGTTCTCTTATCAGCTTAAGTTATTTTTTCCCTCTCATTTTCTCACTGAAACCAAGTAATGATTTTTCCCCTCTTTCCCACAAAATCAAAATGCAGAATAGACGATTATTTATGAAATATTGGTAGGCTGTAATGGGGGTGTGACCTAATGAAAAGAGGGACAAACACAATAATCATTGGATATGTTCCTCAAATGGTCTCTTCCCCATTCTCTCTTTTGTAACATGCCAGTGATGACATTTCTGTTAAAATTTGATATATGTTTAGAAAAAGAAATGCAGGGAGAACCAGTTCATGCTTTCTTTGGCAAAATATTTTTTTACGCTGATAACTTACCCCATGTGACTAAGGCAGGGTTGTTTTGTTACCTCAAAATTTTTAAAGCACTCATAACTCCTAATTGGCAACTTACTTTTTTGCTCCTTCCCACTAGTGAGGGTGTGTAGCACATGGTGTGGCTCAGTTGTTGTGGGCAACAGACACCAGGAACTATACATGTTCAGAAATCCGAAGTGACTAATAGAAGGTTCAGGTTTCTCAAAGGTCAGAGTACATTTTCACTTTTTCCCTTTCCATGTATTTAAGAAAAAAAAAATTTCGGAAAATTTACTTTCTGAAGAAATTTTTTTTACTTTTGAAATATAAAGTAAAATTCCAATTGAAATTTGAATTAGATTTTTAATCTTTATTTTACGCATATACTTTTGAACAGTTAAAAATTGTTTAAAGTTATCAATTTTAACACTGAAGTGTTCCATGTTTTCTTCATATACATGCTTGTTGTTGAGTATTTATAAATGGCTGACATTTGAATTTTTCAAAAGAAACAAGGTAATAATGCCATTACGATGCAAGGAGTTACTAGGAGTGAATAAGATTAGGATTGGGTCTCTATTTCCTTCTAAACAAAAAAATAAGGGAAAATTTCTATTCTTGTTCAAAAGACAAGGGAGCAGTGTGAACCAGGCAATAGGTTCACCTATCTCGTCCTATTGAAGGGGAAAAATAGTAAATACTTCCAGAGTTTAGGTGGAGACGTATAGAGTTCAAGTTTGACTTTAGAAGGGACCAATGTTGACTTGCATTAATTCTGAAAGAACGTTTATGACCATTTCCAGGGAGATAATTCAATAGTCAAGAAAAAACAAACTTCTAATTTAGGTCTTTTAATCTAATATAAATAAATGGAATTCTTCTATAAGTAAAATTCATTAGAAAATGCTTTGGCTTACATCTTTAGTCATAAAATATTTAACAAACTTTATGCCCACAAAAAAAAAAAAAATGGGTGAGTCAAAAGTAGTTTTTCACTTGATACTGCTATGATTATTTTACACTACCTTTACTCCCTCAGTAATGTTTATTTACAAAATAATAAAAATAGGTGAACCAAGTATAATGCAATATTGTTCACCATTTTATAAGGAAATAAATATGAAAAGAAACCTTTATTCAAAACTTTAAAACTATTTTTTGGATATTGAAGGCAAGTTGTTGACAAAAAGGTTAACACTTTAAATGAATTTTATTATAAATTTTTTTTTAATTTTCTTGTTTTTGTCAACTTGAGTCATAATGGAGGTATTATTAATAAAGAAAAAGCCAATACTGAACAACATCAACTCTGAACATGGCCACAACGTGCTGACTGTATTTTGAAAATAAAAACATTCCTATAACTCTAGGTAGCAACATAAA